TATATATATATATATATATATATATATATATATATATATATGAATTCTTTGTGGGGAAAAGCTTTCATCAACAACTCAAAGATACATTTTTATTCACAACACAGTTTTCATTCATACCATTTGTTTCGATGTCCCACTATGGGATATGCCTCCCCTGCATATTTCTCAGAAGTACTTACATTACGCCAATACTGATTGGCTGGTGACCGTGATGCCTGGGTGACCTACCCTTTACGTAGCTTGCGCTACAACGCAAAATCATTCAAAAATATCTTGTCACTTTGAGGCATTTCACTTTAGCATGCTAGCTTACCATGTCCTTGTCCATAGACCAGAGCAATTTTTTTTTTAGATAATTCTCTCTCAACAGGTGCTGTGGCTTCAGTCTTCACCATAGTCTGGAGCATCTAATGCCTTTGTGAGTAATTTTCTGTATTTGCACAACAGATAATACAGCTTTTTTTCTGTCTTACACACCTATTGGCTCGGGCCATTTTTGACCAGTAAACCAGTGACCAAAATGGATTTCACTCCCCTTCACACCAGAAGAGGTAGCAATTCAAAGCCTCACCTCTGCAGCTGCAGGAACAAAATCTTGATCAAAGATCCACATTAGGTGTGCTTGACGTGCATCGAGGTGGAACATTCCCACCTGGTAATTGAAGTTCTTGAATCATGATTGGACTGTTCCTGTTTCACCACCAAGAGCATCTGAAGATGTCTAAAACATCAAGCTAGCCTCTCCAGCAGCAACCTGTGCTTGTCAACGAGCAGGCTGCCGCCTGGCAACAACGACGAGTGAGATAAAAGTGAGGACGCTGAACCAGGTGCAACAGCCAGCTGGGGCTCCCAACTGGACTTAACCACAGCACCCACACCTGCTGAGAACGTCCTGGAGCTGCACTATGAGGAGAACAAAAAGGTCACCTCGGAGCTCCTTGTGTCCAAGGACAACATCAGTGATGATGAAATCTTCATCCTAAGTGTACTGGCTGCAAAGCCTGGCACTTTGGTGGTCACCTGAGATGAGGTGGCACTCCTACTGTGTGCATGGACATGCAGACCATGTGGAAACAGGCTGCCTCCAGCTCAACATCCCCTGGCCTGAGGTAGTATCAGAGACATCAGATCACGTATGAAGGGAATAAATTGCCCCAGGCCACTAGGATGGATAAACAAAAGCTCCTTGTTTGCCCAGAGATGCTAGACAATATTGCGGTCTCCTCGAAAGACCGCCCCTTCAATGGGAAGACTCGATACATGGAGCTTCTTCTCTGGACCTTGAGGGTTTGGAGAAGCTTGGCATTCACCAGATGCTCCCAATAGAGTCGCTGGTTGCAGCCAACCTGCATCCATGGCTGCCGACATCTTCCAGAACCCCATGATGACATCAAAGGCCGACCACTTCCAGTCCACTTTAACTGAAAAGGCCTACAGAGCCGCAGCAGTTACTGTTGCTCACTCAATGCTTCCTCTGTCTCTGCATAACAAGCTGAGCTGTGTGAGGACATGGCCATAAAGCCTGACCCTGATGTGTAGAAGGAAATCACCTTGATCAGTGACATATACCTGCGTGTACAGTGTTGCGCAGTCCAGGACATAGGAAAACGCATGGGGATGATGGTGACTCTCCATTTTTGTTGGGGTTGTTCAGCACTTCATGCAATATTTTGCTAACAGACAGACTCCAATAGTTAATGAGAATTTTTTTTAAACAGATCTCATATGATCAGTAAGAGCTTAAAGCTCAGCTTCGGCTATCACCACACTCAATTTTAACTTAAAATCTGTAAAACTGGCTAAGTTGCAGCATGTACTGTGTTTGCTAAAATTGCTTAGCTGTAGCGGCCATATTGAATGGGGCCGACTACAAATGTTAAATGGTCATCCAGTGTTTGCATTCTGAAAGTTTAATTAAAATTTGCCCACAGGTTCATAAGATATTTTACTAACACTACAGGTACAGGCAAAAACATTGCACTTTTGCCTTATGCAGCATGCAGTAATTATCATGTCTCTTAAAAAGAGACACTCTTATAAATGGGCACTTGAACAACAACCCAGTTTGATAAGTTAGGAAATATCTGTGCAATCTTCTGTCAATAGTTCTGTTTGTGTGACTGTTTGTCAGCCTCTTGAACCAGATACAATGTAATTAGAGAAGAATCAACATTAACTGATGCGTGTGAGTGAAGATGTGAAATTTCTTCACCTCAAACAATGCCTTAGAGGAGAGGACAGAGTCACATAACTGCAGCAACACCAGGGTTTGCCTGTTCGAGCTTTCATTGGTGTGGATGCACAGCTGTGTCTGCACCAACTTCAAAACTATTGAGCAATGTGTTCAGTCATAAGTTTACTCCAAGTAGATATCAGGCAGTGCTGATAAGGTGATGCAGTGAAAGTGGAGCTTTCTGGAAGCAAACAAACCACTAAACAGGAGAAAACTGCAGTTCTCAGGTTGCAGCAAAATTTAGGATTTTCTGTACTTTGTGTCAAATGATGATATAGTTTGTTTTAGAATCCCAAAATTTATCATCCTCTAATGTTGAAAATGGATTCAAATAAGTTAAAATGTCTTTAAGAATTTTATAAAATTTGTAGACCCAATGAAAACAGTTGCTTGGAACAGTTGCAATGAAAACACAAAAACAGAATTGTGAAAGGTCTGTTTGACTGTAACCATCCATCCATCCATAATCTTTACCTGTTTTTTCCTTCTCGGGTCACGGGGTCACTGTTGCCCATATCAAGCAGTCACTGTACTAGAGGCAGGGTACACCCTGGACATCACAGGGCCATATCGAGACAAACGAGACAAGCAACCATTCACACTCTCGCTCACACCTAGAGAAAATTTACAGTTACCTATTTGTTTTCCAAATTTAGAAAAGTACCAAAAAGAATGAAGAAAGGGAAAGCAGTAGGACCTGATGATATACCAGTGGAGGTTTGGAAATATCTTGGAGAGATGGCAGTGAGGGTTTTGACTCAGATATTCAATGGCATATTTGAGGATGAGAAAATGCCTGAAGAATGGAAAAGAAATGTGTTGGTGCCCGTTTTTAAGAACAAGAGTGATGTACAGAGTTGTAGCAACTACAGAGGAATTAAGTTGAAGAGCCACACACTGAAAAGCTGAGAGATTTGTAAAAGCTAAACTTAGACGAGAGGTGGCAAATTGTAAGAAGCAACATTTCATGCCAAGAAAGAGCACCACAGAGGTCATCTTTGCTTTTAGGATGCTAATGGAGAAGCACAGAGGGTCACTTCATTGTGTTGGTGTAGATGTAGAAAAGGCATATGACAGGGTGGAGAGAGGAGGTGTGGTATTGCTTGAGGAAATCTGGAGTGGCAGAGAAATATGTTAGACTGGTACAGGACATGTATGAGGACAACAGGACAGTGGTGAGATGTGCTGTAGAAGTGACAGATAGTTTCAAGGTGGAGGTGGGAGTGTATCAAGGATCTGCTCTGAGCCCCTTCTTGTTTGCTCTAGTGATGGACCGACTAACAAATGAGGTCAAGCAGGAATCCCCGTGGATTGTGATTAATGAGTTAATGAGTTTCTACATCACTATGATGTTTGCAGATGACATTGTGTTCTGTGGTGAGAACAGGGAACAGTTTGAAGAAAACTTGGAGAGGTGGAGGTATGCATTTGAAAGAAGAGTAATGAAAGTCAGTCGTAGTAAGACAGAGTACATGTGTGAATGAGAGGGAGGCTGGTGGAACAGTGAGGCTACAAGGAGCAGAGGTCACAAAGGTGCAGGACTTCAAGTATTTGGGGTCCACTGTCCAGACAAAATGGGGAGTGTGGTAAAGAGGTGAAAAAGAGAGTCCAGGCAGGATGGAGTGGATGGAGAAAAGTTTCAGGCGTGATTTGTGACAAAAGGGTGTCAGCCAAGGTTAAAGGAAAAGTTTACAAGACAGTTGTGAGACCAGTTGTATGGTTGTATGGTCTGGAGACAGAGACATTGACAAAAAGACAGGAGAAAGAACTGGAAGTAGCAGAAATGAAGATGTTCAGGTTCTCCTTAGGAGTGACAAGGATGGATAAGATTAGGAATGAGATCATCAGAGGTACAGCACAGGTTAACAACTGGGAGATACAGTTAGAGAGGCCAGACTGAGATGGTTTGGACATGTCCAGAGGAGGGACACTGGGGATATTGGTAGAAGGATGTTAGAAATGCAGCTATCAGGAAAAAGAAAGCTACCAGGAAAAAGATAGAGGACATATATGAATACAGTTAGAGAGGACATGGAGATAGCTGGAGTGAGGACAGAGGACGCAGAGGACAGAGATGGAGGAGGATGACTCGCTGAGGCGACCCCTGAAGAGAGAAAAGTCCAAAGAAGAAGTTGGACCCTTGAGTTTCTTCAACAAATTCAACAAATCTTGTGTCTGAAAGGTAATTAAGCTCAACAAAAGAGAACACTACAACAATGCAACTAAAATGATTCTGAGCCATGGTAATGTTAAAATAATATTATGCATGTAGTTCCGATATCTGACAGTGTTGTCATTTTTACAGAAACATTAACAGACCTGCTTGGTCACATTTGATGTCTCATTGTGTGATGTAATTGTGTGTATCTGCATATGAAGTAGTTTTGTGTTAGTGAACAAGGAGTAGGTATTTGACACATAATCACAAAACATTTTGAGGTACAACGTGTAACCCAAAGTGTGAACAGAGGCATCCAAGCTGACCACAGTCAAATCATCTGAAAGAGATTTGCAACAACAAAACAGAACAATCTCATACTCTCTATAAAATATTAACGCAGACACATTTGTCAATAAAATCACTTTTTACGGCTCGACTAATCTATTTTGTTTCTGTCATTCTGAAATGACAAAATTTATCCATGTCACTGGTTTCTAGTGATCAGACAAAAATGGCTAAAGAGAATCACCCTCCTGGGTAAGACAAAAAATTGACAGGAGAACTAATTACATGAAGCGCTTAAAGATTTGAACTCATTAACTCATTAATCACATATTCAATTAGACTGAAATTAATTAAAAGAGAAGCAGGACATTGGCACAAAGGCTTAATAAGACATTAGTATTCAATTCAATTCGGTTCAACATTCAGGTCATCTGGACAGTTTTTTTTTTTTGAAAAAAAAAAAAAAAAAAGAAACTGTCCAGATGACCTGACTGAAAAATGTTGGATTGTATACCTGGATTATTGAGCATGGATTTTGTCAATTCAGTTTAGTTTATTTATATAGCTCCAAGTCGCAACAGAAGTAAATGGTAAATGGTAAATGGACTGTACTTATATAGCGCCTTTCTATCTGATCAAGATACTCAAAGCACTTTACAACACAATCTGTACCCTCATTTACCCATTCATACAGCACTCTACTAGAGCTCTACAAAGCTAATTGAACAAATCATTCTAAAGAGACTAATCAGTGATCAAGTCATCTCAGGCCACTGAATAGAAACATTCACATACTTTAGAAAAGCCAACAAGCAAATTTGGAGTTGCTGAGAAAAGTTTGTGGTTAAAATAAAGGATGGAGGTGATGTTTCCTCTCTACTGTCTGCTTTCAAACGCTGCACTAGGCCACTCCATGTTCTTTTTTTTATAGTTTTGTTGGATTTTAAAGTGAGAAGAGATTATTTAATGCTACTCTTGCAGTATATTATGTGAGAGGTGAATCTGTGTCAATGCTAGTGTTTGTACCATGCGAATACTGAAGCGGGCTGGAATGGGAGATTGGTTGAACAGTTGCAGGGTTCTAGCAATGTCTGTCAGAACCGAAATTCTGCCAAATTGTAGCTTTGTCCTTGAAACATGAACAGTTGGTCCCTGCCCAATACACGACAGAACGACCTCCTAAAAAAAGAACAGAAAAGAGAAAAGTCAGAGAACAAAGTTTACAAACACAATGCCTGTATAATCATTCCCATTCAGATTTACTGACCAGAGGCTGGAGGCTGCCAAACACAGCAATAAATAGAGAGTAATGCAGTTTCCCTACAGCCTTTGCCACCAGGGATACAGGAAGTTCTACTGATCTGCCAGGAAAAATAACTCCTCTGGGAATAGAGCTACCAAAAACTATTGGTGGATTGTTCTCGTTTTCCTGAAAACAGTGACACAGACAAAAATAATGTTTAAAATGTAAATATATGGATACGTCACAGAATGTTCCTTGGTCTTTATGATGATGTTGATCACTAAGATCCATAGGGAACAAACAGATCAGCTGTATTTATATTGAGATTTATATTACACACAGGCAAACTTTAAGTAGGTGAGCTCTGATTTGGGTGCTCTGAATTTTAGTTAAGGCTTTAAGAGAACAATAAAGGAGTCTGGAGACAAATGCATGTCACACCTTTCAGATTTTTAGTTGTAAAATGTTTAAAACCATGTATTTTTCATTTCACTTCACAATTATGCACTATTTTGTGGTGGACCGTCACATAAAATCCCAGTAAAATAAATCCAAGTTTGTGGTAATGTGACAAAATGTGAAAAAGTTTAAATGTATGAAGCTACTCTGCAAAGTCATGAAACAAACAAACTTTACTGCCATATCTGTTTTGCCATTAACACATTTATGTTTTAACTGTACTTTTAGCAGCAATACTCAGCCTTTAAGCCATTACGATAAGTGAAAAGTCCTCAATTTGACAACAGAAAATGCTTCATGAGCATGCATTTGTATCTGTAAGACTGGAGACATATGCAGCCCAAGTTTAAACCCAGCTTTTCTCTCCTGTCACATAAATAAAGTATTCAACTTAACCTGATCAAGCAGGCCATAGCAGGCAGGCAGATCACTAGAGTTGGTCAACCTCACTTTCTGCTCATTGGGGTGGTTGAGGTAACATATTTGGAAGTCCAAAACTGGAGTTTCAACTGTAATGTCAGGTACAACACACCTATTACCAGAGAAACGGAAAGGGGCCAAAGAAGAGAAACAGACAAGATGAGAAAGATGAGAGGTTTCACTATCATTCATACTGCATTTGGATTACACTGCTATAAATCTAAACTTGACAATAAAACCAGTTACAGCACCGATTCCTCCTGACATGTTCTACGTGACTGTGTGACCATTGCATGCTAAAAATGAAATTAGAAACATTTAATGCTTTCTTTCTTAAACTCATCTTCAATAAAACAATAAACTCAAATTTGTGTTAAAGGTGTACAGGATGTACAATATCCACTCTTTGGTGAGGTGTTTTATGAATTCATTTAAATAAAATAGGCCTACTATATTGTCAGGAAAAGGCTCCTGTCAATCATATCACATTTTTTATATAGCTTGTGGTGTTCAATCCTCACAGTCTGACTTGGATGCTCCAAAAGTAGTGATTCAAATAAAGATCAAATGATTCTACAATCTTCGAACACACTGCTGCATTCCAATTAAACATTACTGTAAAATTACTTGTGTTTTAGAAAGTTATAACAGAATCAGAATTAGAATACTTTATCAACCCCAGGGTGAAACTGACTGAGTGCCATTCAATCTGGCTTTGAGGAAAAAATAACTGAAGCAAGGGCAAATTTTTCCTCCTTTAGTTGGTCCATTTTAGTTTTAAAGAGGTATTTTTTTTATCAGGTCTTTCTTGTAAACGAGGCCCGAGGCTCAATGAGATTAACCTGTTTAAATACACGTTGAATGAATGAATTGTGTCGGATCAGGTTTTTGAATTTTAATCTAATCTGCAACAGCTGACCAGTTTACTTCTCAATTTTCCACACTTTTGCTGTTTTGGCTAATTATTTAAAATTATTTAAATAAGGTTAATTCAATAATGACACTTATAGTTTTGTTGAAATATGTCCTGCATTTAATAATTAAAGAGTCAAGAACAAAATCAGTTTATCTATTCATTGTGCAGAGTTCAGTTTGCTGCAACTTTTAAATATTAAAACCTAGCTGAATGAATATTTGAGCATGTTCGATCCTTATGAGTGTGGCCCACTGATGTATGAGTCTAACCTGGCATGGATAGGAAGAAACGTTTCCTTATCAACACCTTCAACATTCACCACCAGGCCCAGTCTGTAAGTCTTCACAGTGTTGGAGCACAGCGTCACCTGTTCACACATTAGTCACAAAAAAAATATATAATAATAATAATAATAATAAAAATCTGTGATGTAATCATATTGGCTTGCATGCATTGTTTATTTCATTTTTGTTAACTTTTTTGTTTGATAAGGATAAAGTGATGGGTTTAACTAAAGATGAGTTTGTGGGCAACACGGTGGATTACTGGTTAGGTCTGTTGCCTCACAGCAAGAAGGTTCTGAATTCAAGGCCCAAGTTGGACGTGGAATCTTTCTGTGTGGAGTTTGCTCTCCTTGTGTTTGCGTGGGTTTTCTCAGGGTACTCTAGTTTCCTCCCACAGTTCAAAGTCCTACATGTTAGGCTGCCTTCAGGCCCAGGCCTCCTTTAAAAATAAGATCTGCGATCTCAGTGGGATTTACCTAGTTAAATACAATTTAATGAATAAAGTATGCTATGTTAATTTTTCAGGCAGCACGGTGGCTCCATTTGTAGAGCTGTTGCCTCTCAGCGAGAAGGTCACCAGTTCAAGTACCGGCCCGGGACCTTCCTGGGTGGAGTTTGCATGTTCTCTTTGTGCATGTGTGGGTTTTCTCCGGGTACTTCGGTTTCCTCCCTCAGACCAAAAATATGCATGTTAGGCGGATTGATAACTCTAAATTGTTCCTAGGTGTGAGTGAGAGAGTGAATGGTTGGTTGTCTTGATTGTCTCTATGTGTCCCTGCGATGGACTGGAGACCTGTCCCTGCCTTTCGCACAGTGATAGCTGGACATGGGCACCAGCGACCCCCGTGACCCAAAATGGAATAAGCGGGTAAAGATAATGGATGGATGGATGGATGGATGGACTACTCATCATATAAATTTCTGTTAAACAAAAGTTCATTTACATAAAATTAATCACTGAGTTTATGAAATGATAAGCCTTTTTTAATCTGTTTATGATTATCCAAAAGAAGGTTTAGTGTTTAAATATACTTTCAACGGTGATTCTGGCCATTTGTGAGAAATGGAAACAAATTTGATAAGTTGTCAACTTTTATTTAATGAGAACATCACTTAAATTAATGAGAAGTTTATTAATTAAGCAAAAAGCAATAATGGAGCAGCATTATCAATCAAATAAAACTGAATTTTTGATGAATCGAAGCATAATTTTTCTTTCTTTAGCTTCATTTTTAGTCTAACCAAGTCAGGAATCTGCAGCCTGCAGCTCTGGAGCCACATGTTGATGTTTATTCACCTCTGCAAAATAACATGGAAGTTAATTATCTTTGTACTGTATGTGAGTACATTAGGAAAGGCTACCTTCAGCTGTTTCTCTGATTATATGGAATACATAAATGTAAATTCTGTGACACTGTGACATGAATAACACTTGGAGTATGTAGGTTTGGCTGCCCATGTTGACTTCAGGTTTGTAAGTCATGGAAACCACATTAACTGCACTCTGGACTGCTTCTGATCAGAAAATTTGGCTAAATATGTTTTCAAATTTTCATGAAATTCCTTTAAGTATTGTTCTGTTTGTGTTGGTCATTTGTTTGATACTTTATTAATCAAACAACATAAGACCTCAAAAACCTTTTGTTCTACATTCTTGAAGCAAAATGCTGAGGTGTAAAAGAGTAACTGAGTATTTTAGAAGAGTATGGCAAATTATTTTTTTACAGTGAGAATAAGAAGACCTGCCATTATTAAAAAAAAACTTAAAAACGGTTAAGTACATGAAGACTTTTGCCTTTAGACCAAATCATATTAGATTCTTTTTAATACTTGACCAAAATTTGACTAATGTTACAATATGTTACTTCTTTTGAATTTCATAAGCAACAGGCAAACCATCTGCTTTCTTATACAGAATTAAGATATTTTATTTTTAATAAAGTATCTTAATTCAATATAAAGTAAAAGATACTTTACTTTTTAATGTTTTTTGAGTGGCACAAGATGTTTTTTTTTACTCATTTTAATCTGTCATAACGGTAAAGCACTTTAGCCAGCTTCTGTTGTTTTTATGTGCTATTGAAATAAAATGACATTGAATTATTATTAATTTTACCATAATATAAAAAGAACCTACATAGTTCAGTGTTTAAACAATATAAAAGGTTCTTGTTTGTAAGAAATGGTCCTTTGCTTTGTCCTAATATGTACAATATCAGTAAAACATCAACAGTTTTTGAAGTTTTTTAATAAATTTTTTTACAATACAACAAACTTGATTTTTGTATATAACATTTACTGTAAATAAATCTTAAATATTGGTGGTACATTTTTATAAAGTTTAAATTAGGTTTGTGGCTCTAGATAAATTTTATTTAGTGGATGTGGGAAAAAAAAATCTTTGAACCAAGTAATACTTTTATCTTTTGCTTCTTACTAACTGATAACTTGTAATACTTTTACACACGCAAAAAAAATAAAAATAAAACATAATTCTGAATTTATTTTTTGTTTATTTTTCATATATTTCCTTGTTGGTTTAGGTATTCTTTTGAGTTCTGTCCGTTTCAGTTTATGTAGTTGTGACTGATCATTGTTTCCCTCTGTAATCCCTGGCCTCTGCTCATTTCTCACCTGTTCTGCATCTGCTAATTACCCCAGTTCTTAGTCATCATGCTGTTTGTTCCCTTATGTTCCTGGATTTTCTTGCTATGGTTTATGATTTTTCATGTGCTCCCTGTTTTTTTTATTTTTTTTTTTATGTAAGTTGTTTATCTGCATGGGTTTTCTCCGGGTAATCTGGTTTCCTCCCACAGACCAAAAACATGCATGTTAGACTGATTGGTAACTCTAAATTGTAGCTAGGTGTGAGTGAGAGAGTGAATGTTTGTTTATCTCGTTTGTCTCTATGTGGCCCTGTGATGGACTTGCGACCCGTCCAGGGTGTACCCCGCCCCTCGCACAGTGATTGCTGGACATGGGCACCAGCGACCCCCGTGACCCAAAATGGAATAAGCGGGTAAAGAAAATGGATGGATGGATGGTTTATGATTTTTCATGTGCTCCCTGTTTTTTAATTTTTTTTTTTATGTAAGTTGTTTATCTGCGTGGGTTTTCTCCGGGTAATCTGGTTTCCTCCCACAGACCAAAAACATGCATGTTAGACTGATTGGTAACTCTAAATTGTCCTTAGGTGTGAGTGAGAGAGTGAATGTTTGTTTGTCTCGTTTGTCTCTATGTGTCCCTGTGATGGACTGGAGACCCATCCAGGGTGTACCCCGTCCCTCACACAGTGATTGCTGGACATGGGCACCGGTGACCCCCCGTGACCCAAAATGGAAGAAGAGGGTAAAAGATAATGGATGGATGGATGTTTATCTGCACCATTGGCTTTTAATATTTGTTATCAATGAAGCTTTGGTGTTCTCATTTAAATTCTACCCTTTGTTTTTCAGCTTTGGTCTTTTACCATTAACGTCTTATAAAGCAAGCAACTCTAAAGATGCAGGCAGACTAGAAACCATTTTAAATAAACTGTCTCTTTGCGTTCTTGAAGAATATAAATATGTTGGAATTGTACAAAAATGTTTTCATGTGTGTATTCAAAATGTGTGAAAGGGGTGAAGGAAATTTTCACTGTAAAGGCTTGTTTCAACTCGGTTTCCACAAGATTAGAAATTAAACACATCAAACCATGACAGTGTCTCTGAGGTTAATAAACATCATATACTCCTTCTGTTTTGTGTTCACTAAAAGTTCTAGCATAATAAACATGGGCTGCCTTGTCACCATTATTTTACACTATGATGTTATAGTAAAATCAGTGCACTAGCACATCTCTGTTTTGCATGTATTTGTAATTAATTTGCCTACAAATTGTACCTCAATGGTTTCCTCAGACATGGCGCGCACAGAGCCAGCAGCAGGGCTGATGGTGAACTCCACAGGACGGACTCGGGTTGCATGTCCTCGCCAGTTCTTCAGAGATAAATCAGACACCTGTTTGAAACCACTAACACTGGGAAACTCTAATCCATCCCCTAGGACATGCAGGGCAAAGGTCATAGGTACAAAGGATGTGTTGAAGAGGGTACAAGTCACTGTAGCTGGGAAACCTATGCAAAAAGACAAAACAATACATTATACAAAGTAAATGAAATGACAATGGAAAAGAAAAAAAGAGCAGATGAAACAGGAATGTTTGTTAAGATTTTTATCCAATAGGGCAACATGAAATATAATTAGATTGAATATGAATCACCAAAGGCTACGTCTCCAAAATTGAGCTCGTAGACATCAAAATGAAATGTGGGACCAATGACACGACCCCTGAAAAAAAAAAAAATACACAATTAAGCAGATCTAATAAACCTGTGGAACAGAAAATAAATATTTTTGAAATACTCACTGGAGAACAGTAAAAAAAAGTACTGACTTGTTTTAGTGATTTGAGAAATCATCTCAGCTTTCTAAGGCTGGTGCTGTTTTACTTAAAAACTGAATCCCAGCTTTACCTGAAGGTCAAGTCTGGAGGTCGAGGCTGTCCTGTAACAGTGAGCAGCAAGTTCTCAGAAAAAGTTCCCAAGTTGTCACTCTCGAAGGTGACTTCCACAATCTGGCAGGCCCCGGGGGGAACGACACCTTCCTCTGGACTGAAGGAGAAACATCGGCCAAATGTGGTGTCGGTGCTCAGAAACCTGAAAGGAGCATCAATCAGCCCTTCGTTTGACAGCTGCACCTGAAGGAAAGCAAACAACATTCAGTAACGTCTTCATTATATATGAACTTCATAAATTATCAACACGTTTATACAGGTATCAAAGATATAAATAAAGAATGATACAAGCTCCATGCATGACTTGTGATGTAATGTTTTTAGGTTCAAAAGTCAGATTTTAAATTTAACAGTTCATTTAGTTTAAACTTTTAATTTGGTTTAGGTTTGAGTTTTGTATCTGAGTTCAATTTAATATAAATATTATATAATATACTGTTCCAAATAAGTTTTTACAAGTTAATACTAATATTCAAAATTATACAGACCCTTGTGAAAATCTAAACATGGGATTTTCTTATGATACTTTGACTTTAGGTTTCTTACCTCATAATGATCTTTGTCACCTTTGAACACATTATTCATATCAATTATGGAATAGTTAAGCTGGAGATCAGGTCCGAGACCTTCACCCTGTATTGTGAGAGGTAATCGTGATTCACGACCTAAGGACAGGAGAAGAAGGAAATATACAGCACAAAGGTAAAAAACAAAGCTTAAAGATATGTTCTGATCAAGGGAGAAATAATGGGACAAAAGGTGTAACAATAAAAAGCATTAAAAGTCTTCTTAATGTTTAAAATTTAACATGACACAGACTCTATACAAGAAGTTCCAATACTTTGCTTTTGAGTTCACCGTAATAAAAAATACTGTATTCAAATGCAAAATGTGATAATAATTACACACTTGCTGCAGTTACTGTTGTTCTTTCTATTTGTTAACAAAATAAATGCCATGTGAGGTCCTGCAACAATGCCAGGACTTTTGTTTTGCTCAGTTTCTCAAACTTTGCAACGTCAGGAAGTAATCAAGGCTTCACAGAATGAAGTTGGTCAGATCCTCGCCTGCTTTAAAAATCATGGAAATAAATGTAAATCTCACCTCCGGCTAAAAGACACAGATGGAGGCCACATGCAAATTTTCCAACAATCTTTCAAGACTTTTATGATGTGGTAATTGATTAAAACAAACTGCCCTCATGTGGCTGCTCAGACGTATTTGCCAGATATTTATTTAGAAAACACTAACACTTACAAACATCAGCAAAAACGTCTTTAGCTTAAGCTAACTGTTGAACGTTTACAAAAATTAACATTTATGTTTGTGTTAAACCAACATTGAAAGAAAAAATTACACTCTGAAGGAGAAGGACACATAGTTGAGTGGAGATGTCTACATTCAAAGGTGTGGTTTGTTACCCAGACAGATTTGTCTAACCTCTGAGACTCCCAGCAGGGAAGGAGAATCTTTTATGAGAAAACTAAAGCTACAGATTTACGGTACAGGAGGGGTGAGCTATGTGCCCAAAGCTGTTAAGTTAAAGAATAAACAAGAGAATAGAGTTGTCCTTGGGTCAAGGGCAGTGTTGCCTCAGGAAACAATTCACACTTTCAGACCATTTTAAATGTAAACTTTGACACAATTTTGACGTTATTCTTATTTAAAACCTGCAAATTATTAGTGAGAGGAAGGAAAGTAGACCAAAAGACACCCAGATATATTAATAAAACTAAACTGAAGGTGTAGCTTTAGAAGTACTCGTAACACCAAAGAAAATGTCTGTAACAAGAACATTCAACAAATAGAAAAAGAAAAGAAACCAAAAACTAGAACAACCAAAAGAAGTGGAATGTCCCATCTGTCCTATAGATATATTTTTGTCTCACGCAGAGGAGTTTATGGAAGTTTTATCAGACTCGGGAGATGGTTCTTTCGAGGTAAGGTTCAAAATGCACCAATGAGGATGTAGGTCTGGTCCATCATGATAAAGAAGTTGACCCAAAAAGCCAAAGCTCTAGGTGTACTAGCGACATTTCAACTCTCTCCTATGGTCATGAGGTTTGGAATAAAAAAGAAAAAGCCCAGATCCAAGTGGCTGAAATTAACTTCCTGGAACCACTGCTCCTCCACAGCGAAAAGAATCTGCTCAGGCGGTTTAGGCATCTGATTAGAATTCCTCCTGGAGGAGGAGACTCCAGGGGAGACCCAGAACTTTCTGGAGGGGTTATGTATCCTCACTGGCCTAAGAACACTATGGGATGCCCCAGGAAAACCTGGAAAGTATCCCTGGTAAGAGGGATCTCCCTCCTTGAGCCAGACTACAGTTAAGAGGCAGAAAACTGAATGAATGAACAACTGAAGTGATGCAGATAACGAATTTAGAAAACCAGGACAAGGTGTGTGTGGGGAGAGCACAAAGTTCAAATTAAATGAACCTAACCATGGAAAGGGAAAATGAAATATAATAAAAAAAAACAATAAACAGGGGTAATAAAACTAACCCAAGAGTATTCAAACAAAACCAGAAACACAATAAGCTCAACACAAAAATCTATAAACCCAAACTGTTATATGTACATATCTCTGATATTAAAAAGATAATTTGGACCTAAGCTGTTACAAACCTTGCTGTAAGGAAATAAAGTAGAAAACAAAATACAGTACAGTAAAAAATAAAGTCAAACAAAAAACTATAGAAGCTTCTAAACGTTGTTCTAAAGAATTGAACTAACATAGACATCTGAGGGGACCCTAACACCATGTTGCAGGAGCTACTCCTTTAATTTTCCTTCATGAAACAAAAATTCTAATAAGAACTACAGGCTCCAGCTAAACACTGACTCTAGTTCTTAATTAACTTTAAATATAAGAATATATTAAGACATGTTTCTCTGTTGCAACCATGTTTATTACATAGAAGACAGGAGAGAGAAAACAAACTGATTTGCACTGAGAAAATTTGAGCCGGACTAAGCAGCAACACTGTTTAATTGAATGTTATAAGTAGTTTAACGGTTAAAGGTTACGTAACAAGTGGCACTCACCTGTGATGTCACAGTAGATGGTGTGTTGGTAAAGTCTGGCCTCCTCAGGCTGGAAGACAACCTTAAACTGCATTGTCATGTTTGGGAATATCTCCCCCTCCTGGAGCATGTAAAGACAATAATTTTTATTAAAACAGGACAAACTGCATTTCCTGTGAGAATGCAGTATGAAGGCTGGGTTTTGAAGAAATTTGCTGGAGAAGCTGAAAGTGAGTTGTTAAATCTAAAATATGCAGTTTTTGGAGATCTCTGGAAAGGTTTTAGTGTTTGGAGCATGTGTTGAGGATAACTCTCTGTTATTACTACATCAAAATGTAGCTCAACGTCTGTAAAAGCTGATGGAGTCAGATATTTTTGTGTTTGCTAAGACTGATTAGTTGTGACAGTCATTTTGAAATAGATTGACCCCAAACATTGTTCAGTTATAGATATACATCCAGTGATTATTTTCTGAAAGGTTCATTAAAATCTATCCAGTGGTTCATTAAATATTTTGGTAAGACAAACAAAGACATGGGCAAAATAATCACTGCACTTTTTCCCTTCAGTGGAACAAAACTAGTGGCGCTCACATGTGACATTACAGTAAATGAAGTGTTTGAAAATCCCTCTTTGATATTCCAAACTGAAATCGCCCTGATGACTTCAGGTAAGACACTGACTAGTCGTAACTACACAACACGATATCGAATAAACCAAATGTGCTTGTAACTCTTGGACAAATTATTGTAGACCTGCCTGCTTAGAATGGATGCTTCAAAAAACGAAGAAAAGTTTTGTTTACAAATATTGAAAAATGGTTAAATCTACAAGAGAAAATAATCTATCCATGTAACTATCCATGTTGCTGATCTCATGCTGCTGATCTATTTCATGCTGCTGTGTTCATTTGTACTCATCTGCTCATACAGACTCATGTTCGTGCTGCTGTTGTTCATCGTATTGTTTTTTGTACTACTAGTGCTTAGCGTATTCTTAGTTTAGCATATTTCTTAGTTCATCTCTTAGATTTTACTACTGTTTTCTTTACAGTTTATACTTTTGTTGGATGAAACTGGGGCCCTGTGTACACAATTTCGTTCCACTGCATGTGGTGCAAACGACAAATAAAGAAACTTTGACTTTGACTTTGAAAAGAAAACTTTGAGCAAGGTCGAAACAATTAGTTGATCAGGAGCAAAGATGGTGAAACAGAAACACACCGTTGGCTCCACAGTTATACAACCAAGACAGAGGGCCTGGAGGCCGTCCTGGCTTCTGTGCTTCTGCAGGGATCCGGACAGCAGCGGGAGGTGATGGATAGCTGAGGGGTCAGAATCACACTGAAAAGTCCCCTTTTCTTCCTCCTCCTCCTCTTCCCCCCCCTGCAGGAGCACTTGGCTCTCCCTTGAAAGAGGACGATGTATAGAGAGAAGGTGAAAAGTAAAAAGAAGTGTGAATGAAGAGAGTGCAAAGAACAAAAAGTTGCTGACAGTAATGTAAGTGATGGACAATCTGAGCTATTTCTGAAAAAAAAATATGACTGGTTTTAAAAACTAAATAAATGGGCAAATTAAAAAAAACTTGGAAAAAAAAAAAACACTTAAAACAGGAAGATGAGCTGTTTCTATATCCAAACATCTTTGTTTCAAACCTGAACAAGGCCAGGTCTTCCTCTTGCTGGTTACGCCACACTGTCCAACAGTAATGAAGAGGAATGTCACTCCCGTTGGTGAGGGACACTGTCTGAGTGTCAGCCATGTTGATGTAAGTCTCCTTCAGCACTAAAAATTCAGTTTGAAGCTGTATCTTTAACTCCTCGCAAGTCCCACACAAGTTGATATGCACGTCTTCACCTGAGCAGAAAACAAAAAACAGCAAGCAAATGCAAACGGTTCATATTAATTTATAGACCAAGTCCACAGGTTTTCAAGATTATTATAATACTTCAAATCAGGCATTTGAAAGTGAAACTGCTATGTATTGCACATTCACTGTTTGAGGTTTTTTTTTTTTAAAGTAGATTAAGTAGATAAACTATTTTCAACATATCTTTTAAAGATTACAAATGTGTTTAAAACTTTTATGTTTCCTATATCAAAGAGTTCAAATTACATAAAAGAAAAGAGTACAGTGTGGTGTTCACAAGAAAGTATGATCAGTTACGAAAGAATCAACTGCTTATTGTTCAATACCAGCTCTTATCAGCTTATGTCAAGGATATTGTAGAGTAGCTGAGTCAAATGCTAGAAAAGAAACACATAGTTTAGAGAAAGTGAAGGCAGCGGCACTACATAGCTCCAGGAAGAAAGAAGTACTTCTTTTTTTGTACAACATGACAACCTATCTAAATGTGCCCATCCTGCAGATTCAAAGACATCAACGTGTACACTGTGTGTTTACAGCTGAGCTGCTCCTTTGGGAGACGCTAATGTTCCAAGGGACCTGTCAAACACTTGGTTTATAGCAGAATCCTAACTGCTGCTGATTCTGCCCACAAACTGGAAGTATTTAATCCTGAGTTTACTACACAAATACAAGCACATCAATTGAGGAGATAGCTGTATACTACTGACTTCATACAGTGATTCAATCACTTTGAATCTGAGAAAATTAAGTTTCAATGTCACAAATATCAATTTTATGTTGATGTAGTCAACTGAACTCCAAAAGGCACTAAAGGTAAAGTATGACTCTGTGCACAGTTTTAATGTTTCACCCCTGACAGTGCAGCAGATTCACACACAAGTTGCTCAAATAATCTATTTTTAGCAGTTTGTGTGCCCATGTGAGCAACATTTCTCTGTAATGATCAAAACGTCACGCCGGAGGCACATCTTCCTTCAGTCCTAAGAATTTCTGTAATTTAGAGCCGGACCCAACCATGAATAAACCTGCACAAAAACTGTTCTAATGGCCTACGATGAAAAATTTTGATTAAAAGAAAAGAAACTACTGAAAACGACATAAGAAAACAATATTACTGATATTTATTTTATTTCAAATTATTTTTAAGATAAGATGGCCTAAATGTATTTATTTTTGATCAAGTTGACACAAGACTTCACAAAAATGTATTCAGTTTTGTTTAGTTTTTTTTGTTGTTGATAAATATTAACATTCTGCTCAGTAATTAGCAGAACATCTAATAGATTGAGAGCAGAAACATCTTAATAGTCTCTTTATCTCTGAAACTAAGAGCATCCAGAACCAGGAGCAGATTAAAGATGCAAAACTAGGTTTTGTATAAACCCACCGAATAAAGTGCCATGTAAATATCATAAGTGTTTGCTTACATTCAAATCAGAGGTGAGGGAGTCCAAGCCTGCAGAAACCTTTCTGAATGTCCTTCAATGGCTTTTTAATTGCCTGCCCTGCCATTTCTCTGTCATTTTGGATACAAAAAACAAAACTCTGACTTCTGAATAGACTTCAAAGCTGGCCTTTAAATAACACTCTTCTCCAATTATTTCTGTTCTCTATAGTTTCATTGATATAACATTTTCTTAGAATATGAAAACCACTTTGGAAAGTAAAACTACTGTAAAAATGGCAATTGAGATAAAAGTTCAATAAAATATTTTATTGTGTGTAGGCAGCTCAGTGGGACTGGAGTGTTTTCACAGCCAAAACAACCATGAAGGTTTTATTACCTTTGACTCATATTTTGTATTCACTCATGTTAAAGAACAAAGTGTGATTGTCTCTGGGAATTTGAAACTGTTTGTTTGTTGTTGGTTTGTTTTGATTCTAGAAAATGTGCCACTGAAGCCTGAAGAGTAGGAAAACTTATAACCCATCTCTATTTGGGTTTTCAAGGTGAACAGTGAAAAGTGAAATAACCGTGAAACGAAAACCTTCTTTTATGTGACTAGGGACCTGTTTACATGAGAACAATCTCTGAAAATATTGAACAACATTGATTGTGGACAAAAAAACATGAGAAAACTTGTTTAAATGCAGAATGCTGCGCTAGTCGAATCTGCTGTAGTCTCCATACCAGGCAAGGTTGCCAGATAGGAAATTAAATATTGTAATGTCACTTTAAAATCATTGTATTTTGACCCAAACTAGTGTAAGTGCTGAATGGGGGTTTGTTGGAGGGTAAAGGTTGTAAGATGAGGTGTTCATCATGACTGGTGGACACAGAAAAGAAGGGCTTGACCCTAAAACTATCTTATAAAAACTGTAACTATTGAATATCTGGCAACACAGGTCACTTGCTAATGCTGTGGTTTTTAGCTTTCAGCACATTTTCCAAAATGGTGACCACACAAACACTGGTTCGGCTTGAGGATGACGTTGGGTTGCTCCTACATGTTGAAAAGGGGGAGAAGCACAAGCAGCCCTCTGCTATCCACCATTGTTACTGATGTTCATCTACTTGAGGAGCAAAAACTACAGACTGCAGCCGTCTGTAGTGCACATGCACGATTTCAAAATCTCTGCAGGGCATCTCCAAAAACCTTCACTTTGAGAAGTGGATTCAAAAAGCTTTGGCTTCAGAGAAAACGAGCACGGGTGTCATGTACACGAATGGCTGAAGCACAGCAGAAATGCTCAAAACGGCCTTGTGTAAACTGGACCTAATTTAGCTGTAACATTGTCAACAATGACTTGACCACAGTTTTGGCAGAACAAAAAAATACTTTTGTAAATATAGGCTGGTAAAACTAATGCAAAATCGTTGCCTACCCTACAGTAACCACAAATCATAATTCAAGGAGTGCTGGAGCCATCGAGCCAATTATCACAGAGATTTTCATCACATTCCTGAAGGCAGAGAAGGAACATTTAAAACCTTGGCACAGCGCCACAGGAAGGCCAGTGTATTTTTTACTCTCACTAGATTTCTATGAAACTGTGAGATATTATCGGATGGAGAAGAAGCATGAAGAAACAGATGAGAAGAAGGGTGAGTGATGGAAGGAAATGAGAGTGAGAGAGAGAGAACTGCAGGATACAGAGAGAAAAGCAATTATCTTGCAGTGCTGTGATGCTATGACAGCAGCTGTCAGGAATGAAGAGCTGCAGCTTATTGCTCAGCTTTCATCACAGCCGTCCACCTCCCAATTCTCCTCCCGTTCGCTTTCTTTCCTCATAATTTCTCTGTAAAAACAGCAACAGAACTTCTCAACTCCCTCAGCTACCTTTGATTAAAGCCCAAACAGCAGATCCTGCAGGATAGGATGTCTGTGTGAGAGTACATGGGAGCCTGTGCTTGTTTTTTTTTTTTTGTTTTTTTACTTGTTTGTTGTTTGTATGTGCCACTTTTTACAAAGACTGCTGTGCTCAAGTCCTGTCAGTGCGCTAACCCTGTCAAAGCATATGCGTCAGTGTTCCCTAAGAGCTGTCCATCTTCTGCTGTAAATCAGCAGGAGGGACAGAGGAAGAGGAGGAGGAGGGCTGATGTAGGAGGTGTGTGTTTAAGAACAGTCTCACAACAATAGTAAACAAGTGAGCTGTGCAGGTTATCCTGTTTGAAATCTGCATTTGCTCCAAACTGACGAAAGAAAAGTAGGCTGTGTGTTTGGGCTTTTATGTCATTTGTAAATGAAAACACTGAATAAAGACTCAGATTTCATCTTTCTGCTGAAGTCCCAGGCTTTCTAACCAGAGAAAAGCCTTAGGTTGCATGCAGACCTGGAATATTAAATTAAGGGGAAAAGGTGATCAATTAAAAATGATTTTCTCTTGGTACGTTGTCAGTGGTGTTCTGAGTTTGTGCTGATCTTATTATTAATGCTTCTCAAGAGCACCTCTGTTATCACGCCTTCAGCAGCCCTGGTGACCATACATTAAGTCTTAGCAAAAATAAATAGTTTTACATGAAACGAAGATGACAACAAAACAAACATCCACCACACATGAGGAAGTTTGCATTTTGTGAGAAGAATCAATATTAAAGCGCTGTACATGAATCTATGCTAGATTTAGTTCTGCTTCATAGACCAGTGTCACAATAAATAAATGATAATAAAGCCAATACTTTACCCTTCACAGAACACTTTACATCCTCAGCTGTACCATTACAGGTCAGCAATCACAACTCTCCTACACTGTAAGGTTAAAGAGTACTCGCAAACTCATGAAGAGTAATCATGAATTAATATAATCCACACATTATTTTTCTCATATCAGTGGTTTATTTGTCCCTAAATTCAAAATTTGTGAGCAAATTTTGTAACTGAATGTCAGCGGTTCTGTTTACCTACAGAAACCTCTGAAGTGACTGAAAAACTGTAGACAGAGACGTACATGGAGGAGCTGTTAGGAGTTTGACAGTTTTGATGTATTGGTACATATTTAAACTGAGTAAAGTCAGCACATGGAAGTGCTTTGTTTACATTGAGTGTATACCTGCATTTCAAAATTGCACATCAATGTATCTAGAAAATGGCTGTGGAAAAACTCTTCCAAACGACACCATTTGATATACTTCAGGACCACTTTTATGATTGATTTCATGGTTTATAATGAATGACCATTATACTATGTAATGTACAGTCCCTCGTTTATCGCAGGGGATCCGTACCTTTAAGTCCCGTAATAAGTGAAAAACAGCAAAGAAGGAATAGAAATACAAGTAGTAAGTAGTAGTTTATATATATATATATATATATATATATATATATATATATGTGTTCTTGCAATATTCTAAACAATATTTCTAAACTCTAAATGCTCTAAAAGAGCACAGAATGTCATGATTTCCCTCTCTGTGCCTCCGCTGCTCTCAGCCACCTGCAAGCGCCTCTCGGCCATGCCCACTTCTCCGCTCTGCATGCAGGTCAGCTGTTCAGCTGCAGGAGGAAGTTTATCCTGCAGTGTACGGGCTGCACAGGGGCGCTGGAGGAATCTTTTTTTTTTTTACAGCTCTGGGCTGCACAAAGGTGCAGCAGGTGCTAAATAGTTTAAAATAATTTATTTTAAATAAAAATTTCATACCAATAGTGCAACTCATCCATCAATCAGCCAATTAATTGTGTGTAGTGTCCAATCTTATTTTGAAAAACCGCAATAGAGTGAATCCGTGATAAATGAACCGTGAAGTAGCGAGGGACAACTGTATATACAG